AGAAAGAGACAGAAAGGGAGAAAGAAAAAAGAGAGAAAGATAAAGAAAAGAGACAGAAAAAAGAGAGAAAGAGACAGAAAGGGAGAAAGAAAAAAGAGAGAAAGATACAGAAAGGGAGACAGAAAAAAGAGAGAAAGATACAGAAAGGGAGAGAAAAAGAAAAACAGAAAAATACAGAAATAAAGAAAGAGATAGAGATAAATGAAGAAACAAAGAAAAAAGAAAAAGACAGACGGAAAGAAAGAAAGAGAGAAAGAAAAAGACAGAAAGAAAGGAAGTAAAAGACAGAAATAAAGAAAAAGAACAAAGAAAAACAAAATATAAGGATGTTAAATTGCAATGTATCATTATAATGATATGATTTAAAGATTATCCATATCATAAAGGTTTATAACATTTGTGCCGATGTACTTTCACGTGCTATATAATTTTATGGTAAGGTGGCTTATACAGGTTGTATTCTATATTGTAATCATTATTGAAGTTGTATAATCCTTTAAATAATGTATTATGTATAATGTAATCTTGCCAATGTATATATATATATATATATATATATGTAATGCCTTAATTAAAAATTGTCTTAAGCCAATTTTTAATTCCCTAAGGAGGGAGTTGTAACGAATTTATTGTTATGTATTTATTTTTAATATGAACGTTGTTTAGATTAAATTTGTATTTGAAAATATGCGTAACACGCTCGTTAAGGATTAAAGAGTTTGTATTAAAATAGGAAAATAAATCTCTAAAAATAGTGTGAAAATGACTACCTCGTAGCAAGGAATTTTGCGTGTTGGGTAAGGGGCCAGCTATAGTTTATGTTAGTGTGCCTGCCTATGTATCGGAGAATCCAATGTTCCTACCGCAATATGCTGTTGAACACGTTCCACACTTTCAGCTGCGGGAGCGTTGTAACAATGTCGGTAAATTCCACTATTCTGTTGCACTTCTTCTGGATAGCGTTTCTAAATTACGAATGGCTAAACCCGAACCTTAGGGGCCGCTGACCTGGCTATTTAGCCCATGTGTTGCAGAAAAATGCCAATATCGTTTTAGTTAAAAATTGATATAATGCATTACATAACCAAAAACGCAAAAAAAAAAAAATACTCGCGGTTCACAGATTACAGATAAGATGGAATGATTTGATAATAACTTTGTGGAATGTTTCCTAACAAACAAAAAAGAAAAACATAGTCTTCATAATTTAGTGGAGAGTGCATTAACTTTGTGGTAAATGAAACACACAGTCACCTGATCTTCGCAATAATGAAAGGTTCGCAGACTTAATATTTCGAAGAGATAATTGTACTTGTAGCAAATTGTGTAGGTTAAAAATGACAAATAAACAAAAGACAAATAAACTGTATTTAAATAAAAGAAAAATTGCTATACATTTTCTTGGAAAGAGCTGAAAGTGATTAACTAAAAGTAAAGGCACGATGATCGCCAGGCTAAACAAAGAAAGTTACTCGTAAGATTTTATAAGCAAGTCTAGCTCTCTCAAGATGGAAATAAATCTGGTTGAAAATGCCAAACTGCTCTCACAATCCCCATTCTCTCTCTGTAGCTGACAGTCACAAAGTGGGTTCACAGCTATCTAGAGGTATCTCTATCGTACATAGCAGCAGTAGAATAGTCCCACATATACACCTATCCCATGAGACAAAGATAACCTCTTTGACCGAATCTGTAGAAAGTAATAACCAGGGTTTAATTAGAAAACGATTTCGACCGATTTAGCATGTTCCCAATTATAACTACAAAAGATAAAATTTTCTGTACGATATGAAATATATATCAAAGAAGAGTGGTATATATTTTCATACTACACTTTCATAACGTTAGATATGAAATCTTCTGTGAAAAATATCCTAATTTCAATCACGGTGCTATATTTACTATTGTTATGGCGTAGTGTTTTTTAAACTGTTTGGTTCTGTCACTTAAACTCAAAACAACAGTGTACGGTTATATGAGGACATATTATTCTCGTTCGACCACTTAAAACACAATTCTGTATAAAATATACTACATTAATTATAAAGTTTATTTATTACACTACAATTTTCATCTCTTCCCTCCCCCCCTTTTTGTAAATCATTATGGGAAACCAGGATGTGATGCCTTACTTTCACGTGGTCGTTAGTCTTAACAACCCCAAGTTTCGCCAGTGTAGATGGAAACTAAGTTGGGGTGCAAACCTAATAAACTAATTCTCACTGGCTTTGTGCCTAAACCTTACCTAGTAACGGTCAGTGACCTCGTTAAAAAAGTTTGACATGGTAGGAAGTTTCTCATAACTTTCCCCATCCATGCACCCGTTGTTTACTATGTCAATATCGTTACTCTACCACTGTGTGTAAATTATCGTTAGGAAGGTCTAAGTCGAAATTAGTATTAAAAGACATGTCATCACTGTTTAAAAACTACGTAAACATCAAAGAAGATGAAATAACAGCTTTAGCGTTGACGTAAAATAAAATTAAATGCTGTTTGGATATTTAATTTCGTCATTGGTTGTATAAAACACGAATGTTATATTAAACTCATGTTTTGTGAAATGCGTTTTACGAGTTTTGAAATATACCGTAATTGCGTGTTGTAAGATTTAATAATAAGTAATAGTATTAATCTATTGTATAAATGTTCATATATTTTTATGACATTAAGATATCATTTAAAATAAAAAGAGGCAATTAAGATTTTTTGGGCACAAAATGCTATTCCATCAAATCTTCATTCATTGTCAAAAAACCTAGAATTTGCTTTTTTGCACTGATTTTTATAATAGGATATTGAAAACCATACATTAATTACAATTAAGCTTATAATGAGCTTAATGAATGTTGTTTATTTTAATATCCCATCAAGAAGGAATCATCATAAACAAAACAACAGCAACAACAACATCAAAAAAAAAACATCAACTAAGAAAGATTACCCCTTTGGGTCATGAATGTTAATACAAATCACCTAAACTATATTATTTGTAGTTGAACCTCAAGAGTTGTAGATTATGATGGGAATGCAGTTATTTCTGATATGGAATGTGAGTCTGGGCACTTAGTGGCCAGTTTTTGTATTTATGGCAAAGCTACTAAGACTATCTGCTACCACCTTTAATTGTGAACTACTGAGCAGAGGGAAGGCAGCTAGTCAACATCACCCTATCATCTACTGTCCACACTAATGGATTAATTATCACTCTTATAACATACCCACAGCTTAAAGTGCAGTGAATATTTTGTGGTATCACACATATTTGAATTTGGCTTGTCACCTTTAAAATCCAAAGCTCTAAACACAGAGCCAGCTTGTGCCCTTTAGTAGCCAGTTCAGGCAAGGCAAAGTTGTAACTCACTGGATAAGAAATTAATTTCAAATGAAGACATTTATGTTTAATGATAAATAAACAAAATAAGCCAATTATGTAGATAGATTAACAAAAGGTTTTTGTAAGCTCAAATATTTTCTATAATATCTTTAACTCAAAATAGTTTTGTCAATCTTTATATATAGATATAAAGTGTTCCTATTAAATATTGAATTTTAGTTTGAATAGTACCACCTTCCTCATCAGAAAATATGAGTCCTGTAGGTAAATAAAAAAAACTGAAATTTAAGATATTTTTACCTTCAAGCAACATATGTAAGAAAATGATAGTAAACTTAGAAATAATTTTAAAGTTGTTGTTTATAATTTGATACCTTATTACTCTACTGGTAATACAGTCATAAGTAAGCTCTGGATTTTTCTCTGACAGACTGATGTGTTTCTTCTATGCTTCAGTGTTGATAAACAAGCATCATATGACAATATTATCACCAAGTGGCACCCTGAAATTAGACACCACTGTCCTCAAACTCCATATATCCTTGTTGGTAAGTTCTGATATTGTACATAAATCATAAAAATTGAAGAATTTTAACAAATCTTTAAGAGATGTTCTATGTTTATATACACATATATATATATATATATATATTGTAGTTAATATAAAAAGTTTTCTTTTGAGTTAATTAAATTGTGTGGTATTCCAAAATACTTTTAATGTCAAAGAAACATTTATATTATTGAAAAAATATGATTTGATAAAACTCAAATCTTTCAGAATTTATCAGCTGTGATGAAAAGAGCTACTACAGTATTTTGAGCTTCCATAAAAACTTTGAATTTAATATAAAAATATTGTTGTATGTATGAGGCCACAATGATCTGTCTACTTGCTGGTGGTTGTTTGATTGGTGGAATGGAGAAGTTCAATTTGTAGGTGTTCAGAGGTAGATTAGACTTACTCCTCAAAAAGAAATTTATATCTCTATTGATGTTTAAAACTTGTGGAATAGCTTAATAGATCTTGTGCCGTGCCTTTAGTTTGAATGTTTTTAAAGGACTTTTGGACAGATACATGGATGAAAGGCTGTATTTAGTTTTAAACTTGATGCTTTAGTTAGTTGATTTAGAAGCTTAAGGGGTTGCATGGCTTTCTATTACCTTTTTCCTTCTTATGTTCTTGAAAATCATCAAGTTGTCAAGTGGTTGTTTGAGATTTAGCTTAAATTCAACTTAGTCTGTGCCTAAAAGTGACTCTTCTCTTTGACAAGTAAAATTTAAGGACTAACAAGTGAATAAGTAAGCATTAATGAAACTTCTACATTTACATCACTGTGTAGAAGGTTTGAATTTCACTTGTCTTTATATTTTTATAAATTTATCTCTAAATTCAATGTCTATCTCAAAACAACTATATTAAATAGTCATAACATCTGGTAGTAAAGAATATTGTACTTACAAGTATTATTTCTCAGTAATACCTGTTACAAGCAGTAGTTAATATTATTGAATTAGTTAGTGGAGGGTTTCATCAGATTGTAAAATTTGATAAATTTCATCCACCGGTTTGAGCTTGTCTGAAGTAGATGTTTTATTCTGTTAGTGCAGAGCTCAACAGGTAGAATGCATTTACCTTTTAAGATGAAGGGGCAGGATATTTTAAGAAATTAAATAGAATCCAAGTATAATAAGATTAGGGTTTCTAATTCCAACTTCAGTATAAACAAAATGACCTAAAGAAAGCATTTACATCTATGTTATTATGCAAATATGAAAAAAAAATTCTTGCTCTTGAACAATATCATCATCCACCAGAAATTCTACCTCCCTAACAGATTTATGAGATAAAAGAAAAAAAACAACTAACAAACAAACAGGCTTTTAACAAATTAATTAAGACTAATATCCCATCATATTTCTCTATTATTTGTATTTGGTTTGCATAAAGTATATAGTCTGGTTTTCTCTTCAAATTTACTGTCAGCATGATTGTCTCATGCTATCACAACATATCACTAGAACTGGACAATTACCTGTATTTGCTAATCAAATAATCAATAGATTCATTAATAGATTGCTTTTGATTAATTGATTAATACTCCCCTACCTTATACAAGCAAGCAAGCTTCATAACTTTTTCAACCACTATATTCTTGTAACTTGGTGTTAAGTTTCCTATTTCTATCCACCTTCCCTTTTTTTTCTTTTGTAATTTTAGAATTACCTTTTGCTTTCTGATAAATCTCTTCTGAAAGTCACCATTTGCCACAAATTATTTTTTAAAGATAATCTGGGCATTTCCCATATGGTGAATGAATTGCTATTATCACAAAGCACCAACATGCAGTCATCATTATGATTGTTTTGGAGATATGCAGTAATCCCCACTGATCTTCTATAAGTCAAATATATTATAATTAAGTTATGACAACTTGTTTTACTATAACCAGTAAGGGTAATAATATTTTTCTTTCATAATATATCACAATTTCAATTAGAAATAGTTAAGTAGCTAGTTAGCCAATTTATTTATATACATTTTTTGAATGGGATAAACTTAAAAAATAATATTCAGTAAAGATTTAAATCATTGGCATATTTTGAGGTCACCTACCATATTCATTAAATGGTAAATTAACTTTTCTAAGTTTACCTGATTTGATGATGATTTTATTTTATCTGGTGAACATAATAAAAATCACTCATGATTACAAACATTGCAACTCAATAAAACCATAGTATATCTATTAAAAAGTAAAAACACAGTAATTTTAAACAAAGAACCAAACATAAACAAGACAACTTTTTTCAGCTTTATGTAATCTCCAGTCATGTGACTTCTTTGTTTAATACTGTATGTATATTCCTGTATCTAGGTAATCTACTTGTTACTCATTATACTCGTCTCTAAACTGTATACCTGTAAGCTTACCATATGTCAAGTTATCTGATGTGCTCTCAATGTAGAAAATTTCTGTATCTTTCAAATAGATATAATATAATACACAGATGCTTTTATAATATTCACAAACAAAGAAATGTTTAAAAAAACTGTTGAAAAAAACCCTCTTAAACCTATTTTACGTCTCTGTGTTCGTTTGTTAATTTTCCGTATAATTTATTTCCGATGAAACTTCAGCAATACAAGTCTTTTCTTAAATAAAACTAGTTTATTCTTTTTCAATTCAACTTTACAATACACTTAATTTCCACAGCCACTTTAAATTAAACACACGCTATAATTCACAACGAACGATTCAAGCACTTTACTTACGTCACTACCGTGCTTGACACAGTTGTCTGTCTCTATATCTGCCTGTCTGCAATTCAATCCCGATTAATTGTCTGGTGCACTTATATACAAGAATAGAGGGCACCTAGCAAATACTGGATTATTCGTGATGCTCTAGAACTCATTACATGTTACCAGCGTCACGTGACTCCCGCTGTCATAACACTGCCCCTTCCTTAGTATTGTTCGTCCCAAACAATAGCCACTTAAATTAAACCAATAGAAAATTAACAGTAACTTAATTAAATGGACAGAATTTACAAACACAAAATTAAAATTCAACAAAGTCTCTTAATTTTACAGGTCGTATCTTCTTCCGTACTGGGCTCCTTCTCGTTGGGTTCTGCTTCATGTGGGGTTCATCTGCTTCATCAGTAAATGTCCTATCATCGGTAACAGTCACATCAGTGGTAGTAACTTCATCAAGAGCTGCATCGTTTCCCTTCTCAGAACTGAGTAGAGTATCTTCTTTGATGTTGGCTTTATCAGGTGACACCTCATCAGCAGCGTCATTTGTTCCTTTGTTCACTTCATCCCAACTGAAATGTCCTGGACCATGATAATGCCAAAGCCTGTTGGCATGCACCACCTTTGGCTTACCTCACTGACCACATTTTATTCTGAAAGTCACGTCTGAGAGACGATCCACAATGTCATACGGGCCTTCCCATGGAAAAGACAACTTAGAAAACTTCCCTTTGGTCTTCCTGAAATTATACAACCACAACATGTCTTCTGGTACAAAGCTGACCTCAGTAGATTTCTTATCATAACATAGCTTCATCGAATCAGCAGACGTTTTAAGTTTGAACGCACTTGATGATGAATATCATCCATCCTTTCAGATAACACTTTCACGAACTCTAGCACATTTTCAGGCAAGTCTTCGTAAGGTGGGCGTCCTGTTATCAGGTCCACTGATAAACGAAGTACAATAAACAACTTGCAGCATTCATGGAACACAGCGGATTCAAAGTTACAGCCTTGATCTGAATGCAGTTCGTATGGCATACCAAACATGAAGAAGAAATCACTAATAGCCGAAGCTACAGTTGTACCAAATGCTGATTTGGTATTGCATATGCCTCAGGCCACTTGGTGAAATAATCTATCACCACACAAATGTACGTTTCCAGCACGAGTTTGGGGCAGAGGACCAGCAATGTCAATGGCTACTCTTTCCATTGGTGCACCAACTTGATATAACTTCATTGGAGC